ATCCATCCCTCCATCCATCCATCCTTCTTCTCTTTGATCCATACTTCCATTCATCCATCTGTCCACACATTCTTCTTCCCATCCATCCATCCATCCATCCTTCTTCTCTTTGACCCATCCATCCATCCATCCATCCTTCTCTTTGATCCATCCCTCCATCCATCCATCCTTCTCTTTGATCCATCCCTCCATCCATCCATCCTTCTCTTTGATCCATCCCTCCATTCATCCATCTGTCCACACATCCTTCTTCCCATCCATCCATCCGTCCTCCTTCTCTTCCACCCACACATCCTTCCGTCCTTCCCCTCCGCCTGCCCCTCCCTCCCCCCTTCACCCACCGCCTCCTCCGCCTGCCGCTTGTAGGCCTTGACTTTCATCTGCAGTTTGTCCACCAGGTCCTGTAGCCGCAGCAGGTTCTTCTTGTCCTCCTCTGTCTGCGGGGGACAGGGGCAGGGATGGACATCAGCTCAGGGTGGGACCAGTCAGGGGTTCTAGGTCACCCGTGTCCCTACAGCCACCAGGTCAGGTCAATGTCCTGGGTCATCTCCGTCCTTACAACCACCAGGTCAATGTCCTGGGTCACCTCTGTCCCTGTGGCCACCAAGTCAATGATCTGGGTCACCTCTGTCCCTACAGTCACCAGGTCAACATTGTGGGTCATCCACATCCCTGTGGCCACGAGGTTAATCCTCTGGGTCACCACCGTCCCTGTGGCCAGCAGGTCAATGTCCTGGGTCACCTCTGTCCCCGTGTCCACCAGGCCAATGTCCTGGGTCATCTCCGTCCTTACAGCCACCAGGTCAATGTCCTGAGTCATCCACATCCCTGTGGCCACCAGGTCAATGTCCTGGGTCACCACTGTCCCTGTGGCCACCAGGTCAATGTCCTGGGTCACCTCTGTCCCTGTGTCCACCAGGTCAATGTCCTGAGTCACCCCTGTCCCTACAGCCACCAGGTCAATGCTGTGGGTCATCCATGTCCCTGTGTCCACCAGGTCAATGTCCTGGGTCATCTCCATCTCTACAGCCACCAGGTCAACGTTGTGGGTCATCCATGTCCCTGTCTCCACCAGGTCAATGTCCTGGGTCACCTCTGTCCCTGTGTCCACCAGGACAATGTCCTGGGTCATCTCTGTCCCTACGGCCATCAGGTCAACGTTGTGGGTCATCCATGTCCCTGTCTCCACCAGGTCAATGTCCTGGGTCACCTCCGTCCCTGTGTCCACCAGGTCAATGTCCTGGGTCACCTCCGTCCCTACAACCACCAGGTCAACACTGTAGGTCATCCGTGTCCCTGGGGCCACCAGGTCAATGTCCTACATCAGTGATGTCCCTGCGACCGCAACCGTCTCTCCCCATTTCCAGTCCCCCGTGAACGTAGACAAAGAGGGCCCAGACTATGGTGGTCCCACCCGGTAGCTGAACTCCTT